AAGCCTAGAGAGCAGATCAAGGTCAGAGTCAACTGCAGAGACAAGTTGAATATATCTTTCTTGTTCATATTCTTCAAAATAATTATCTCAAGACAATTTGGGGGCTGGCTAACGAAGGAAACCAAAAGGGTTGGGAAGTTGAACAGCAGAGGGGTGAAGATGCGTGCTGATAAACGAGCAATCACAGAAAAGGGAAAGAATGAGGGAAAAATGGATAGCAAGAGCGCAGAGAAGAGCAACAAAGCTGATCCAGGGGCTGGAGGTTAAAGGAACTAGTTAATGTCTATCTGAATGAAGAGAAGGATCAGGAGTGACGTGATAGCAGCCTTCCAATATCTCAGGGGCTACCACAAAGAAGAGCGGGTCAAGCTATTCTCCAAAGCACCTGAGGGCAGGACAAGAAGGAAAAGATGGAAGGTTATTAAAGATAACCTAGAACCAAGGAGAAATTTCCTGACAATGCTAGCAGTTAATCCGTGGAACGGATTGCCTTCAGAAGTTGTGGGTGCTCCATCGTTGGAGGTTTTCAAGAAGAGATTGGATGACCGGGACTGTATCAAGACAGCTGCCTTGGGTAGGGGTTGAACTAGAAGACCTTCAAGGTCCCTTCCACCCCTAACATTCTATAAAATATAGGTAAGAAAGCATTGATTATGAGGATCGAGCCAGGCCTCATTTTCGTCCACCCTTATGTTTCTCACTGTGGAAGCAGAAGGCGGAATCCTCTTCCCACAATAGATCCCAGGCACTAAATGTCGGAAAAGGTGTGAAGAAGAAATAATTAAATTATAGTTCATATGAAACTACTGTATATGCCAGCGTACAAGGCGACCCGGCGTATAAGACGACCCCCATCTTTATCGCCGAGACGCATTCCTAGAACGTCGTCTTATACTCCGGAAACTACCAGTATTTCCGGCGTATAAGACAACTCGGTGTATAAGACGACCCCCATCTTTGGCGCCGATTTTAGCGCTCACGGAAGTCGCCTTATACGCCGGCATATACGGTAATATTCGGAAGCCTGGGGTGCCCACCTCATAAGTAACACTGGTAGCCCTTGATTGACACGTCCTCTGTGAATTTTTTTCCATTTCTTTGGATGCTCATCTAGGCCAGAGTAGGCAACCTCGGCTCTTTTATGACTCGTGGACTTCGACTCCCAGAATTCCTGAGCCAGCCTGGCTCAGCTTGGAAACCTCTCCCTTTCCCCTCAGCATGGCTGGTTCAGGAATTCTGGGAGTTGAAGTCTGTGAGTCATAAAAGAGCCGAGGTGGTCTACCCCTGCTCTAGGCGAATGGATTGGCTGATTATTAATTCTGCTCGCATGTCCCACCAACTTCTAAAAGAAGAATTACTAGAATGGATGGTCAATATTATTATCTGTTTATTTGTTTGTTTATTTAAAAAAAACTTTACCCATTTATCACACATAGACACACACACACACACACACACACAGAGAGAGAGAGAGAGAGAGAGAGAGAGAGAGTATAAACTAGCACCGATGATAAACTAGCACTGATGATGTTACCTTGTTTGGGTAAGTAACATCTGCAAAAAAAAAAACAACAGCCAAACTCAGAGAGCACAAGATGTATAGTCCAAGCCCAAGTGATCCCAGGGGTGATAAGAGAATTTGGGGCTGTCACTTCTAAGATAGGCTTCAACAGATCCCTGGAATGACATCTGCCCATCTCTATCCAGAAGAGTGCAGCTACAATCCTGCACAGAATCCTCAAATTCCCAGTCCTCAGATTGAGGAATACAGTCCACCCATGGGGATCAGAAGTGAACCCCAAATAATATATACCCCAAAAAAGAATTCAGTGGCAAAGTTACAAATGCTTGAGTTTCAATATTTTCCCCGCCACAAGACGAAAGGATGTCGCAGAGATGTAGTCAGTACTTTGGTCCTCTTATCCCTACTGTGGAACAGAAAGACTGGTCCTCAATTTCCTTCATAAGATGCCCAGCTATGTAATTAGCAATCAAGGCTGATTTTTATCTCTAAATGTTGCCCAAATCTGTGGGCTTTTTAAACCTCAGGAAACATCTAACATTGTTCACTCTGATTGTCCCACTTTCCCACAAATTAAGTGGCTACTTAATGCAGGATGTGCCAGCTAACACCAACATGTCATCTATGCCCACTAGATGCCAGCACTTGGCTGACCTTGGCTGATCCTTATTAACCACGCATGGTCAGCTTCCATAAGTACTTGGGTGGGAAGCAATAGGCTATAAAAGAGAGAGAGAGAGAGAGTACAAAAAGGCAAAACAATGTATGGAGAACTATATGGATGTGCTCATGATGTCACCAGAAATTGAACCTATCTTGAAAGAGACTTTATCTGTTAGGCACAACATCCCTTTGATCTCTTCTCAGAACACCCCAAAAGAGCCCTTGAAGATGGAACCACATTTGAGGGACCAGGGAAAAAAGTTCTTCCAACTGATCCTTTCCCAGGAATATTAGCCTCGTATTTATGGGTGCAGACACACCAAAATGTCATCGTACACCATGGAAAAAAGCTGCGGGAAGAAATTTCCACACGGGTGCTGCGACAAAGCAGGAAGGAGCCCTTGGCAATCTTCGATTGATGCGAATGCAAACACACTCATTCAGCACCCTCATCATTAGTCCTGTTGCTATTTAGCAGTTCAATTAAAGCAAGAAGCTCAGCAGATGTAACTGGGCAAAACAAACAGGCAGCTCTGAGTCAGCCTTCATAATTTGGCATGACATGCCATAAATAAATGCAGCAACTTGTTTAGCATAGTTAAGTGGTTTTCTTATTCAAACAAGCCGTTCTGGAGCTGTGAGGATGTAGTATGCTAACGTGATGCCTTTCGAGGTTTTGAAAAGAAAAGAATCTCCCCCCCTCTCCGCCCGATGCATTATCCTAAATTAAGATTCTGCACTTCGATAGCAAGCAATCGAATTAAAGCTGCTTCATTCTTGTGTTGTTGTGGGTTTTTTTTCTTTTTTATTTATTCATACTGTGTAGAGTTATGTACCTCTGAATCCTTTTGATCTGATTGTTCTTGACTCTCCCCTCATTTAGCCAAGCCATCTGTATCCTGGTTTTGCAATTAGTTTTGCTTGTCAGTGCTTCATATATGGATGACGAACAGATACTCTTTAACTTACGACCACAATTGGGAGCTGTTGGAATACAATGTTGGAATGTGTTTTTGTGCCAACTACTACAATAGTCCCAAAGCTGCTTTTTTCATGAGGCAACTGGACTTTCTTATTTTTCTTTGAGGACGTTTTGCTTCTCATCCATGTCTGGATGGTGGGGAATGGAAGGATTTATACTCTTTGCAGCCAGCTGGTCATTTGGCTTCTTTTAGAGAGTCATTGAGGTCACTTGGAGGTTTATCTGTGTCCTCAGGGTCACCTGAGTGGTGCAAATGGGGGTGGAGCCTTCTTGGAACTGCTAAAAAGACTGTGTGGTAGACTGGAGATAGATGGTGTCGTATCCCTCCCCCTCTGTTGAGAGAGGGCTGTTCAATTTTGACATAGATGGCCTCTTTGACCCCTCTTTCAAAGCAACTACAGTAGTATTCAGCCAGTAGATGTCAGTGTTGACAAGTTTGAATCTATGGTATATACTCTATGTTCTTTTTGTCTTAAGGAGCTCCCTGTTTTCCTGTTACAGTAAAACAGTTAAGCAGTAAAGCACATGGTGACTGTACTCTTTGTTTGATCTGTGGTGCTACATATGAACGGAATTTCTAACAGGAGCAGAGTTTCCATTGCTAAACAAGGCAGTTGTTAAGAGAGCTGTGCCCAATTTTGCAGGCCTTCTTGTCATGGCGGTTAAGTGGAATCACTGCAGTTGTTAAGTGAATTGTATGGTCGTTTAGCAAATCTCTTGCTTGGACCTTTCCAGATGAAATTGAAGAGATCTACCTCTATAGCCAAAGTTCTGTTTAGTGGATATGATAGGTAAAAACAAAGTGGGATTTTAAGATATGATGCAGTTGCCTTCTCTTAAAATGTCCAAGCTGTCTTACACTTCCTGGATTTCTTAATCTTCTTTGATGAATAAGCAGGAGACCAGCCCTGTAGAACAGATTTCTGTTCTTTTTGTAGAGGCACCTATACAAACTTCGATGCCATATTTCCCATCTATATCTTATTCTTTTAAGAATTCGGCTGTATGCTTGTAACTCTTGGATTTCTTGTTTTAAAATATTTTTATCATTATTTTTAATGATAAGTCCTGTCTTCCCGATTGGCAGAGCCTCTGGGAATTTCTTCCCCCATTCTGCAGTGAGAATCAACAGGATTCCCATGCCGCTTTTATACTTTCCAAAACTTTGAGGCCAAAGTTTAATATTGCAGAAAAGCAAGTGGACACAGATAAATCATGAGTCTCTCTGACCTTTAAGAAGGCTGCAAGTGAAGATGTCTCTGTTCTTCCTAGCTGAAAAAAATTCAGAAACTTGGCTTCTGTTCTCAGACGTTTTAGACATTTGCGAAGATTCCTCTCTCCGGCCAAGATTTGATTTGTTAGACAACTTTCCTCTTGACTTGGTTGATCATTTTAATCACAGATGTTTATTCTGTTTATACTTTAACACTCGGTTAGTTGCCTTTGTGTGCTCACCGGAGCAGTAAGGATGAACATTAATCAAACTCAACAGAAATTGATTGCAGAGGTTGGTGCACATCCACAAGAAAGAAAATTAGACCTTATGTATAAGCCACACCAGCATCGCCTATATATTAATCAATATATAGATATAGACAGTGCTTTTTTGTAAAAAAAAAAAAAAAAAGAAAGATGCCAGAACTTCCACACATCATACAACCCGCCTTGCCTACCCTACAAGGTTCCATCCAAAAAAGGTGCCGGAACTCCGTTCTGGGCGTTCTATGACAAAAAAAAAAGCCCTGGATATAGATAAATATTTAAAAAATCATTTAGTCAGAGAGCATGGATGTATGGAATTGTCTTCACTCCTCTCTTTCTGTTTTGTTCCAGCATTTACAGAATCCTGCCAATTTCCACAATGCAGCTACTGAACTTTTGGATTGGTGTGGTGATCCAAGAGCTTTCCAAAGGCCCTTCGAACAGAGTCTAATGGGCTGTTTGACGGTATGGCAACTTTTATTCCGCCACCTGATATTATACGTCTTGCAAGGAAGCCACAGGCCGACTGAAATACAGTTATTAGTCCATTTGCTTACCTATAGATATGTCAATCGTGTGGTTTTTTTTTTTTTTTTAAAAAGAAAAAATAGAAAAAGAGGAACTTTGGTTAAGCTATTGTGCAAAGCCGTTCCAAAACCTACCTTCCTCACTTTGTGTAAAAGGGCGGATAGCTATTTACCAGCCAGCTTTAGGAATACACACACACACACACACACACACACACACACACACACACACACACACACAGGCTTAACTTTAAATAGAAGTGCTATTTTCTTAACAAGGCTTGGATGCAGTCGCGACCAATTTTGCGAGATGTTCTCTCAAAATTTCTGAATGTATTTCTTTCCGAAATACCACTATTTCTGAATGCCACTAACAATTTTTTTTTAAAAAAAAATAATTTGCTTTATTTTATCATAAAAAGTAAAATACAAAACAAGCAAAACAAAACGAACGCATACATTCAACCCTAGCAGCAACAACAAAGGAAAAAATGGTGTACCAAAAAAAAAAAGGAAAAAGTGATCAAATAAGTTTAACGTTTAACATGAAGGATCCAAAAAAGAAAAACCAGGAAATATAGATAAAGTGTTAGCATCAGATGTAATGTTTAGCTCAACACACCCACATATATATACACATACACACATATATATATAGAAAGAGAGAGAGAAGGAAAGAAAAGGAGAGGGGGGAGAAAAGGTGAGAGAGAGAGTGGGAAAGAAGAGAGAGAGAGACAGATAGAGGGAGAGGGGGAGAGAAAGGGAGAGAGAAGAAGAGAAAGAGGGAGAGAGAGATGCAGAGAGAAAGGGAGGGAGAGAGGGAGAGAAGGAGAGAGAGGAAGGGAGAGAGGGCGAGAGAAGGAGCGCGAGAGTAAGGGAGAGAGAGAGAGAAGAAAAAGCAGACATCAGGTTAAGCTAAACATTACATCCCATGCTAACAGTTTTGAATCTGAAACAGTCATTTCCTGTTCAAGAGTTGACAGGAAGTGTACAAACTTTAAAAAGTGTCCCATTTTGGGCTCACAACCTGCATTCTGAACCTGGTCTCATATTATTTCATTCTTGCCCACCCCTGAGAGAAGAATGAAGCAATCCAGCAGTAAGTCCTGTGAAGTTCAAACAGCTGATTTTGAACTTGGAAAAGGGTTGCCTCAGTCTCGAAGCATTTCGAATGCAAACCGTTTAACCCATCCCCTTTTTTGGGGGGGAAACGGTTTCTGCCGGGTAACTTCAAAAACTCACCTGATAAACATTTGCTCAGAAACAAGAAAATAGATGAGTTAGATTAAAAGGAATAGATTGGCAGATTGTTTGCAAACTAAATTTGGCCATTAAAAAGTTATGCAATACCTTGAAGACTTCCATCTGGTGAATAAACTTAGGGAAACGATGGCTTTATTCTATTGATAGTCTACACCAGTGGTAGCGAACCGATGGCACGGGTGCCAGAGGCAACACTCGGAGCCCTCTCTATGGGCACACGCACTGTCTCCCCAGCCCCGCCTCCTCCCACGGCCCCCTCCTCACCACCAGCCACCCCGGAGGAGAGTCACTCCTGGGTGCAGCCAACGTGAAGCAGTGCAGCCAAGGACATGGTAGCTGGGCAGCGGGGACAAGACTCCACCCTTGCGCCCCGTCGTGTGCAGATGATGCTGCGAGGCACAGGCGGAGGGCGTGGCCGCAATGGCGCTGCTGGGCTGCCTGGGTGATCTGTGGTGGGCCATGGAGGTGTTGGGTGGCCCAATGGGCAGGGCGGAGTGGGGACAGGGGTGGGGGGGATGGTTTTTGGGCACTCGGTCTCTAAAAGGTTCGGTTAATCATAGAATCGTTATTGCTTCCAGTTTTCCGTGCAAAATATTTCACCCCTCGTTTTTAAATTGCAGCAAGCTACCCATCGGTATTGCACGCCTTGTAATATTTTATCATTAATTATGAAAAAGCGAATCGTGTGAGGTGCTTTGGATGAATAGGAACTGTGTAGTTGTGCTGACTAGCTAATACTAAAAAAGCAGCATTTCATTAGCTGGGATAGATGATTATATAGTTTCCCTTCCCTTCTGTTCTGTACCGTTTTATTTTTTTTTATAGCAAGCCGTGTTGGACACAGATAATTGCATTTAATGAACCCTTCCTTTAATTCTTCAAGGAGATTTTATATTAAAACTATGGTGACAAATTACTTCTTGCAGCGTAAGCCCTTTGGAGTAAAATATAGCTGAAAACCAAAGGCTGCTTGCTAAATTAATAAAATGGGACTAAATGCTTCTGTCTTCCCGTTCCTCTTTAACTTTCTAAATTAAGGGAATGTTAATATGATTCGCAAATAACACTTTCCGGGTGTGGTGAATATAAATGGACTTTGTGTGTCTGTGTGGTGTTGTTATCTGAGAGGGGAATGGGCCTAAATCAAAGCCATGACTTTGACGAAGTAAGTGTGAATGTAAATGATCCCAACCAATCAAACACAACCCTTGAGTTTTTGAAGATCACACTAAATTATCCCAAGAGGTCCATCAGTTCCAAGGCTGCCGTGGTGGGTCATACAGATAGTCCTCAATTTATGGAACCAGGTATGGAACCAGATGTTCCACTTCTAAGCAAGGCAGTTATTACGTCAGACATACCTGATTTTATGACCTTTTTTTTGCACCATGGTTCTTAAGCGAATCAACTGTAGTTATGAAATGAATCGCATGCTCATTAAGCAAATTCAGCTCTCTCCCCCCTCCATTTGCTTGAAGACTAGGAAGTTTGCAAAATGGTAAAGAAGAAGAAGAAGAAGAAGAGGAGGAGGAGGAGGAGGAGGAGGAGAAAGTTGGAAGGGACCTTGGAGGTCAACTAGTCCAACCCCCTGCTCAGGCAGGAAACCCTATACCATTTCAGACAAATGGCTGTCCAGTCTCTTCTTAAAAACTTCCAGTGTTGGAGCACTCACAGCTTCTGGAGGCAGGTTGTTCCACTGGTTAATTGTTCTCACTGTCAGGAAGTTTCTCCTTAGTACTTGCCACCTGAATTTGGACCCTGGGGATGCTTCAGTGGTCAAAAGTGCAAGAACCAATCGTCAATCACCTTTTTTTAATGATCATTTCAAATAGTCATCCAACCCATGGTTGTAAATTGAGGGCCGCCTGTAGGACAGGCACATCAGGACAAGACAGGAGGCATCAGGAATTTTCAGATGGGGGACAGGCGCCTTAAACGTTGAAATTCTCATTTTGTCCCTCTAGGCTTCTAGAACTGCAAAGCAGAGAGCCTCGCTCTTTCTAGGAAGTCAAAAGTGAGTCCAGGTCACCTTTTCGTTCCCTCCCTCATTGTCTCCAGAGAGAAAGTCCTCGGTGGATGACTGAGAATTCAGATTTTAAGTCCCCTCTCCAAAGCAGTGAGAAGTACAGAATGCTGCCTCCTGCAAATGGCCTCTTGACCGCTTGCCCGCTTTCAACTTTGTTGATTTGTTGCTCATTCTGAAATCTCTTGGTTTCTTAGAGCAGAAGTCAGTGTGGGCTTTGTACGCTCTAAGAGAGAGCTTGGTTCTTCAAACCAGGTTACTTTTGGATGAGGGCAGCAGAAAGCTTGGATGATTTTGTTCCAAATCGTGGCCTCTGTGCTTCAGTTCCCGGTGCCATCAATGGGAGAAGCAACAAGCTCTGGGGTCCTCGATGCTCTTAGGGGACATGGCTCACCTTCAGGAGTTGTGGGTGCTCCATCACTGGAGGCTTTTAAGAGAAGACCCATTTGTCTGACATGGTATATAGCAGGGGTAGGCAACCTTGGCTCTTTTATGACTGGTGGACTCCAATGCCCAGAATTCCTAAACCAGCCATGCTGGCTCAGGAATTCTGGGAGTTGAAGTCCACAAGTCATAAAAGAGCCAAGGTTGCCTACCCCTGGTATATAGGGTCTCCTGCTCGAACAGAGGGTTGGAGGAGAAGACCTCCAAGGTGCCTTTCAACTCTGCTATTCTGCCTCTCTTGCAGACGTTGCATTACCCAACTAGGCAACGTCATCGATGCTTCAAAAGCATTGATGATTTTACCCAGTTCCCTAGAAACACCTGCAAGAAACCAACAAACCTCAGAGACCACCAAGAACACCAGACAACTCCGAGCTACCAGTGTCCTCTTCTTTGGTAAAAACCTGTGCTTTCAAAGTTATTGCAAATAAGCTAAATAAGGTCGGCAATGCGCATCGCTCATCGTTAAAAAAAAAAAAGGACAACGAATTAGGCAATGCTTTGAGATTCGTTTTCAAATCCAGAGTGGCCCTTTGGAGTTTGAACGGGGTGCGTGGCTGTTTTTATTAAAGAGTTGCAGACACTTCCGTGGGCTCTGAAGCACCTTTCCACAATGGAACGGGAAACACTCGCAGAAATTAAAGGAAGGAGAACAAAGGCTTCTGAGTTCTGTTCTTTATTTGTTGGGTTCTTCCCGCGGTAGGTTGGCAAGCAACTGACGATTTTCCAGAAACTCTCTGTGACAACTCTTTTATTTTTTCTCCCCCCCCCCTTTTTTTTTTTTCTCAGGTTGTTAGCAGAGTGGCAGCACAGCAGGGTTTCGACTTGGACCTTGGATATCGGTTGCTAGCTGTTTGCGCAGCCAACAGGGAGAAGTTCACACCAAAATCAGCTGGTAGGAACAACTGGTGTTCTTTTCCAGACATAGTTTTTTTATTATTATTATTATTATTTGCCAGAGACAACCTCGACCAGCATAACAATGTGCTTTTGTGCGTCTCTGGCAAACGGAGAGCTTGTGGCTTTCTCTTGTAGCATTTCTCTTAAAAATAGACGGGAACGAGAACAAAAAATGGTATTTGGGTCGCCATCTCTGTTTTTCAAGCTGTCTCCAGGAATAAATAAACCTGAGGAAGAATCAATAGAGAACGGGAGAAACTCTATCCAGTGGCGATGATCATGGGGAACCCATTGACCCAAAATATTGTACTGTACATGCGTGCAAATATTCATTCGTCAATTGTTTTATTGATTCATTGATGCATTTGTTCGTTTGTTTGTGGATACCTAAATCAGTCAGGTCTCTCTAGTGCAGTGTTTCTCAACCTTGACAATTTTAAGGCATGTGGACTTCAACTCCCAGAATTCCACAGCCAGCATTGCTGGCTGTGGAATTCTGAGAGTTGAAGTCCACATGCCTTAAAATTGTCAAGGTTGAGAAACACTGCTCTAGTGGTCTTTGAAAGCAACGATCCCAGCCTTTGCAGTATTTGCTTGTGACTTTGTGGCTTCCATCGTAGATATTTCTAGTCTTGAAAGATTGAAAGTGTTGCAGATATTGTGGCTTTCCATTTTTTTCAGTAAAAATGTTTTGGCAACCTAGTGTCCATAACAGATTTTAATATGCTAGCATCCTTTCAGACCATCAGCAGTTGCACTTAGACTTATATACTTGTTCATAGTGCTTTTACAGCCCTCTCTAAGAGTCGGCCTCTTGCCCCCAACAATCTGGGTCCTCATTTTACCGACCTCGGAAGGATGAAAGGCTGAGTCAACCTTGAGCCAGTCAGGATCGAACTCCTGGCTGTGGGCAGAGTTTGCCTGCAATACTGCATTCTAACCACTGCGGCACCCCGGCTCCATTAAAAAAGGATGCCGTTGTATATAATACAATGCACTCAGTTAAACTAATTACTAAAATCTCCTTCAGTCGTGAATATTTTTTTTCTTTTGAATGAGAACACGATGTGTAATTTAAGCCTGTTGTTGTTGTTGTTGTTTTTAACCATTTAGTTGTGTCCGAATCTTGGCAATTTTATAGCCAAGTGTGCTCCAGGCTACCTGGTCAAGCACAGCTTCTTTCAATTATTGGATGTTCAACTTTGCGTCAGATTTGATGTTATCAAGCCAGCATGTTCTTCACTTGCCCTTTCTCCTTGTTCCATCAACCATTCCTAGCATCACAGACTTCTCCAATGAATTTGCACCCATGATATGGCCAAAGTAACTCAGATGTAATCTTATGATTTTGGCTTCTAGTGGGTGTGTTATATGATTTAACACCTCTCTGTTAGTTACTCTGGCTGGATAATAATATAAGCCTATTATATATATCGTGATAATAACATAACAACCATGAGGTTGAGTTGTGTAGCAAATATTTGGTGCTGACAGTTGTGGATGAATGTTTTAAACATGGAATGCCTACATGGGGGAAAGTGGGAAATGTGGTTGTCAAAAGGCTTGATTTCTAGATAAAATTATAAATGATAATTTATGATAAATGATGTTTGCCCCAGCTATGTGAAAGTCCATAGTGGATATAGCAGAAATTATTTTATCAATGTTCAACTTTTGACTCTTCAGTCTGTGAATTGTATTCCAGGATACCTTAAGTTCAGGAATTGCCTTTTAGTGCTTTAGATGTAAATACAGAATAACAGAGTTGGAAGGGACCTTGGAGGTCATCTAGTCCAACCCCCTGCTCAAGCTGGAGACTCTATACCATTCCAGATAAATGGCTTTCCAATCTCTTCTTAAAAACCTCCAGTGATGGAGCACCCACAACTTCTTGAGATAAGCCCTCCCACTGATTAATTGTTCTCCGTAACTCTAAGTTGAATCTCTCTTTGATAAGCTCCCATCCATTACCCCTTGTCCTGCCCTCAAGCACGGGCAGAGTTATTTGCAAAAGACAATTGGTAGCAAAAAGCATGCTAAACCTCTGTGAAATCCAATATCTGCTTTGTACGTGGTCTTCCCGGTCTTACTCCCAGTTTGAGGAGGGCAAGTGAAATTCCTTCAGAATCTCCCAAAGATGCTTTTTCAGGAGGCAACTGGACTTTCTTGTTTTTCTTTGAAGACGTTTCGCTTCTCATCCAAGAAGCTTCTTCAGCTCTAACTGGATGGTGGAGAAGGGAAGGATTTATACTCCTTGCAGACTGCTGGTCATTTGCCTTCTTTGTGCAGATCTGTACGTTGGGGAAACAAAACAACCACTTCATAAATGCATGGCACAACATAGGAGAACAAACCCAGCAGGAGAAGATTCAGTAGTCCACCTGCATTTGAAAGACAAAGGCCACTCTTTGGAAGACAGCAAAGTCCTTACTTTGGACATAGAGGACCGCTGGTTTGAAAGAGGGGTCAGAGAGGCCATCTATTTCCAAACTGAACAGCCCTCACTCAACAGAGGGGGAGGGATATGACAATACCTATCTCCAATCTACAACATAGTCCTTTCAGCAGTTCCAAGAAGGCTCCACACCCATTTGCACCACTCAGGTGACCCTGAGGACACAGACAAACCTCCAGGTGGTCTCAACAACTCTCCAAAAGGAGGCAAATGACCAGCTGTCTGCAAGGAGTATAAATCCTTCCATTCCCCACCATCCAGTCAGAGTCGAAGAAGCTTCTTGGATGAGAAGAGCAATGTCTTCAAAGAAAAACAAGAAAGTCCACCTGCCTCGTGAAAAAGGATCTTTGGGACAATTCTGACCTGGATGACTGAGAATCTCCATAGACATTTCTTTCAGATTAATTGCAAAAGTCTGCACTGTGAAATTGATCAAAAGGTATGGAGGTGAAACTGACTGGATTTTGGAAACTAACAAAAACCAGCCAGGGGTTTAGAAGCCAGGGATGCTTCTAAACTTATTTCTAAAAGATTCATAACTATCAGTTGCGTGGATCTATTTAAAAATCTTTCACAAAACCCTGAGCACACGTTAACAGTGGCTAAACCTGCTGGCCTAGCCCCCTTTTAAAACTAGTTTTCTGCCCACCCCATTCCTCTATTTTACCAATTGGTTATGGATCAAATGAAGCCAAGACGTCACTACTGTCATTGTCTGAGTTTGTGGTAGGTACCGGATACAAAATGATAATTTCTTGGCCTGCATTGAAGCTGGATATTGGGTCTCAATTGTCAAGCATGAGGAATCCGAGATAAGAGTTCAAAAGCACTGGAAATTTATTTCACGCCACCTATGCAGAAGAATCTGATCACTTACAATCAAGGTGAATAAGATAAGAGTCAATGGACTGCAAAGAGACTTGGACTTAGGTCTCTTTCAGGCACGCAGAGATTCCAGACTAATGATGCATTTGACCCCACCCTCAGGTTCGTCCTTGTCATCTCTTACTTCACGGGTGTCAAACTCATCACATGATGTGTCACGACGTATTGTGACTTTTTTTTGCATTGCAGGGGTGGGCACGGCCTCTGCATGAGGCAACCAGCCCATGAGTCGGCCGTTTGACACCCCTGTCTTACATAAACTGAGACATAATTGAGGGACATCCAGCTGGACTTAGGTCAGTGGTTGAGTTCTGTTCTACCCCCTCTGCATACATCTGGATCTAATCTTTACCTACTACTAGATCAGCTGGATTGACATTTTGGGATCTTTTCTGAATCTTTCAATCTCGTGGCAATTCACCCAACCCTCGCCGTTACCAAAAATAAGATATAGTCCATTCCTTTCACCTGGGACAGTTAAGGTTTTTCTGTATGTTTTGGAATGACTTTGCTAGCTGTCCTGCCCTTCACAATCGGCATATTTTTTATTTATTTAATTATTTATTTTTGACGTAGCCCTCATCTTAACACCCTAAATTAGCTATACACTGAGGACCAGAGAGCAACATCATTACAAATCAAAACACAACAAATCAGCTCAAGGCAGCTTAGTATTATTAGAACAAGATAAAAATCAACATCGGGCAATCTTAAAAAGGTCAGAGTGATTAAGTCACAGTAGAAACAGGAGATTGAAATAAGAATAGAGAGACCGGGCTATCAAAAAGTTCTCTTCCAGGCGACTATCAGCTGCACCTCCGCCTGTGCGAGCATTTTAAACAAGGATTTTGAGAATATCAAGAACCAGGTTATAATGGAAAGGAAGAAGTGGGCTTTTAAAAGATTGAACGGGAACTTTCTTATTATATACAGGTCCCTCTTCTCGGATTAGTTAACTGCAGCGAAGCATCTGCTTTTCAGTTGGGTGTGTTCTCCAATTCAATATTAAGCACCGATTGACTCCAATAAGTGCAGTATTTGAAATGCCTTAACTGAAGGTATAAAATTAAAGAGCCTTTCGAATCAACTCCTGTGGATTCCAAGGTGACACACATTCTTCTCAGCGACACAGACGTGGGATGGACACGACTGCTTCTGGTTATTATGCCTCCGCTTCCACTTCCTAGCCCACAAAACCAGCACTGGGGTGTCTTAGAGATTTCCTTGTTCAGGACTGACAGAACCCAACCTGGGATAGCTTCTAAGCCTAAAGGAGATCGTCCAAAATAGGAAACATCTCTCATTGTGGCCGAAGACAAAGATCTTCTCCCATAATATGACATCATGGAACATTCTTTTGGAAACGATAATTTAAAGTCTGGTTTATGTAGATCAGGATTTATCTGATTTTTTTTTCCAGAAAAGCGGAATAAGAGTTGAGTGATGTGATATACTAGAGAGAGAGGGGGAGAGAGGGAGAGAGAGAGAGAGAGAGAGAGAGAGGGAGGCAAGCAGGCAGGATGGATGGATGGATGGATGGATGGATGGATGGATGGACAGACAGATAGATAGTCACAGAGGTAGGTTGATAGATGTGGATGGATGGATGGATGATGGATGGATGGATAGATAGATAGATAGATAGATAGATAGAT